TATAAGGAAACAAAACGTACGAAATGAACCATTTCAATGATGGTGATTTATTTTTGGTGCAACCGTCTGTCTTTCTAAATGACTTACTTCGGTGAATTTAGACATCTCGAATCTCATCCTTTTCCAATGGTTCGCTAATCGTTTCGGATGTCGATATCACGTGATTCTTGATTTGCAAAGAACTCAGTCAGTTCTTCTCCCCGAGGTTACAGTTGGGTAAGGCTCACAGAAAAGCTGCCTCTACCAACTCACAACCTTGATCCATAACAGCGCTTTCTTTCCATCTTTCGTTTTTGTCGCAAGAGACGTAATGGTGCTTAGCATCTCGAGTATTGGATTGAGTTGATCGAGTCGTGTTCGGATCATTGAAAATAGTAATGAAATCAAATTTGCAATAATAAAATCATTAATTTACCCAGATTTATCAGGAATTACTATCAACTGTTTAATTATTCCTTGATTCAATGTTTCTCTTTTTTTTTCACTTTCCACTGCTATTTTTAAATATTTCCCGCTTGCATCGGCGCCAGCTGAGAAATGGTAGTTGTTTGACTGATCGCTAAGAAAAGGTCAAAAACTGTTAGCTGATATGCATACAGCTTTCTCGAAGACCTTCACGGTCAATTGATTTCGGTGACGTATCCGAGACTTTCCGCCTCGGACCACGTGACCCGAAAACGAATGACCGAGGCGAAATATCGAGGCATAGGCAAAAATAGATATATATTTTTCCTTAACATAAGGGCCATTTATACGACAAAGCCGCGGATTAAATAAGACGCCAACTTGCCGTATAAACGGTACATTTTTTAGCCAGTTCACGCCTTACACAAGCCGCGGATGACATAAGCCGCGGCTTGTGTAAAACGAGGGTTTTGAGCTTGGTTTAAATAAGCCGCGGCTTATGTAAGACGCGAAGCCACTCGTATAAATGCTACCGCGGCTTGTTTGCGGCTTACGTAAGACGCGAACTTACACTGCGCAAGCGCAAGTTTTTCTCACGCTCGTTCGAGCGCTCGCGCAATTCCGATCTGGAAAAAAAAAAATGGATGTGTACCGAAATGTTAGGGTACACTAAACTCACCCGGCTTATACACGACAAATCCGGGTTTATTTCTTCACTCGGCTATTGCTTTTACACCTCGTTCACGTAGTTCAAAAACCTCGTGCTCGCTACGTTTTCCCAAAAGCTCCGATTACAAGATTTTCCGATTACAACTGTCAATCTTACGCTTTCACAATGTCAAGTCCGATTAAACATAGTCACGCAATTTCCGGTCAGATGCGATAGTTGATGCCTCATCCGTGGTCTGGTCCGCAAGAGGTGCACAGGCCAAAACAGGAAATTCCTGGCGATATACACCCTGAAATTTTGCCTGAATTCTCGGTTAAAATGTAAGATGTAGATCCATCTCCTGCTCCCACCATTCTTGATCGCTCTCGCCCAGCTTGTCTCGACTTAAAAAATTTCATTTAGAAGCCGTAGTTCAAAATACTTAACTGAAGCTTAGTTTTTAATAAAAACCCGAAGATTCATCGTTTTCTTCGCGAAGAAGCCTGCCGTCCCGTTTCGTTGCTCCTGGTTGGTCGTTGACTGGACCGCGATTGCTATGACAACGAACACCGAAGCGAGGCATTAGTCGCGAATAAGCCGTGAACCGTTTATACAGGGCGCTTATATGTACCCGGCCTTTTTCCGCCCTGGTTTATACGAGCTCTTCGCGTCTTGTATAAGCCACGCTCGTGTAAATGGTCAAGTTCGCGTCGTAATAATCCGCGGCTTGTGTAAGCCGTGGATTATTTTTCTCGTATAAATGGGCCTTTAGTGTTAATTTATTTGGAAATAACCATATTTCTTAAGTCTGGACTGATCAGGGAGCACGCATTAATACTAATAATAGTAATAATAATAATAATAATAATAATAATCTTTTAAGAGACTTAATGACATAAAAGTACTCTTAAAAGAGTACTTTTATGATTTTATGCACCGTTCCTTTCTTTGTGTGATGTGAAAAAAATTTCGATCAATTTTCCGCTTCTACATAGTTAGGACGAGGCGTTTGAAGGTCACCGCAGCTATGTGGCAATCATCTTTGGAGAGAAACATCTTATTGACTTTCCAAGCATGTAGCAGAGTACAGCTTCGGCCGAGATAATCTTTAAGTGGTTTGGTTTATACACACCCTAGCACCGAGAGAGTTAAGCGATCAACCGAAGACGGCTTATTTGCACTGAATGAATACCTAGAGAATACATGCACTTATCTAACGAAGATCGCGAGAACTGATGATTCTACTACCCCCATCGCCATGTGTAGAACCTCTGTGTTAGAGTTGGACCAATCTTGTTGCCATGGATACGGAAACCCTCAATGAATGTAGAAGCCTACCCTTCAAAGAGCTTGGGACGACCCTTTAAACAGGTGAAGGCTACATTCTTTAACAGGAAATTCTTCCCATACAACTACTGAATGAAGATATTCCAGATTTTCTTGCAGACCAAACTAAACACGAAAGCAGTGTTTCGTCAACGATGAAAACAATACCTCAATCTTTCATTTTACAGAGTGACGGTTTCTTTAGAAATGTTTTCAATCTTTATTGTCGTCCTTTTTCATATATTCTCATTCCTTTTGTATTTTCTTTTGATGTTTGTCCTTGTCGGTCGATGTCTAGCAACATTTTTAATGTGTTTTTTTTTCAAGGTTTATAATACATTTTATTATCTTGATTTTTATCAATTTAATCCTTTGGTTTCAAAATTCTCTCCTATTTTGTATCCTTTCCTTTTTATAATTTCTTTTGTGCAGAAAATATATTAACTCTTAAATATATTAGCTCTTTTGCTTTTTCAAGTTATTTTGTGTGGTCGTGTTTTCTTTCTTTTTGAAACATTGATTTTGTTGAAATAAATTTTAGAAATTAAATATAACAATCGAGTACAAGGAAAAAGTCCTCCGAGTGAATGTTTTAGTTTCTTTTTGAGTTTCTCTGTTTCCTTTCTCGTCCTCATTTCCTCTTTAGCGTCAGTAAATCAACTGCACACCAGGCTAAAAACAAATAAAAGACAAACACATCTTTTTCATGAAACGAATTTATCTTTTTTACTCCTATCTTTTGTCTCAGTGTCGTCTTGAAATCAGTCTTGTGGAAGATAATTCAGTAACTAGTACTAGTCATGTCATTTCTTCGCCTTTAAGATTGTTTTCTCTACTCTGCGCCTTCCATGCTGTAGTGTAGCTGGTTGATGGTAGAACGTGCGCGAAGCGAGTCCAAATTACAAGTTGCACGTACAGAGCAGGTAAGCACCTCAAAATTTCCTTCTATTCCTTTACAAGATATAACACTCGCTGTCCTACGCACACGACTAACAACGCTGCCTCTTGTCTGACGTTACTTTCCCTTCACATATTTTCTTTCAGTCTTCGAATAACTTGGTTCTACTCACCTCATCATCAGAACTGCTGGTTTTCTCGCCACTTCTCTTTTGATAATACCTGTAAAGCCAGACTCCAGCGCTAGCTGCAACAGTAATAGTCACGAAGGCGACGATGATCTTCCTCATGATAAAATAAACTAGCTCAACGTTTTATTTCAAACTTGCGGCGAGACACCTGCGCCGATATTTTGATCCGATTGGCAAAAACAATGACAATGGCATAATGAATTATTATGCGCGTGCTCGCTATTCTAAACCATGTCATACTCTGACGCGTGACGTAAACCCTTCAAATGTGTTTTGTGACGCCACCTTGAAGAACACATTCTTTAAAGTTCGCTCGGGTGGGCGTGGCCAGGTAATTAAGAGGGAGAGCTTTCGCATTCACCGACCAGTCAATTGTTCAAGTCACTGCTAATGCAGGATTTGAAGTCAGCCTGGAGAAAGTTTATATAGAAAGCAGCCAGACATCCCTAGTGTGGCCGTATTCAAAGGCAGGCCTAGACGTTAGTGAAAAGGAAACATTATGTAGAAGGCTGTACTTTTCGCACAAAGCAACATTTTTCAACGAATATTTAAACGCCGAAGGTATAATGGAAACAACGCTTAGTTGAATTGTTGTTTTATTTATTTTCAAACAACATACACACTGTCAAGCATTTGGCAAGACTCACGCAGATTTCCAACAAATTAAATACGGCCGATTATCGCAGTAGATTTTTACAAACTCTACTCAAATAAAGTTAGTAAATGATTTACCTCGTTTACAGTAATTGCAGCTGAACTATCAAATCGACTTGGAGTTTGAAATAACGCTTTACATAGCATCGTTAGATAAGACACTTCAAAAGTAATCTGATTGGATGAACAAGGTACCAAGGAGCTTGTAATCAATCACCGATATTGGTGACATCCTTATTCAAGCGCTACGTTAACGGTCAAAACCTTCAGCGTTTTTTCGTCAAGTAAAGATCACCTAACGGGTAGCGGATTAGAAAAAGTCAAGTAAAATACAATATATTAGCTAAATAAACAATACGGTCATTTTTTTGATAGCCCGATTTATATTAGAGACGGATCATCCGTCTGGGAAAAACTTGAAAAACAAAAAACAAAAAACAAAAAACAAAAAACAAACTAGGGGTGCTTAACATTTTTCAGAATACACCGGTTGGAATGACCGTTGAATAATGGTAAGGGTTTTTCCAAAATCAGCAAACCAACCGAATAAGATAGCGCTTACCATTTACAATCCATCTCCCGTAATTGTTTCCGGCTAATGAGAGACTGCAACTGGAAAATTTAGTAAATGATTAAGAAATTTCCGCCGTTCCGTTCTGAAAGAAAAAGGAGCACTACCTCTGGAGGAACTCTGTTATTTCCGAATTTTTTGGCTAAATGGTAAGCACCCCAGTGGTTGGTCTGATAATTCGTCTGTGACGCATCATCCGTTTAGGCGAACTGTTACAGTAGTTAATCCTGACTGACGAACTACCGTGGATAATTCGTCTGGAGGGATGATCCTTGTCTAGTATGAATCGAGCCATTCTGGAAAACATGGTAGGGCGAGCATTCACTCACTGTTGTGTAACCAAATCGGAGCATTTTACAAACGATCGCTATCATTTCTGAAAAAGCAGTTTTCATTTCACATTAGGTAAATATATTACATGGTAACCTAGTAGACGATTCAATACGAAAAGCAAAAGTTCTCTTCCTACTTAAATGTATAAAAATAGTTTCAATTGCCACTCTCTTCACGGCTCTTTCACTGAGCTTATCGAGGAGCATTACAGCCTTTCTGTACGTTATGNAAAATTTCATTTAGAAGCCGTAGTGCAAAATACTTAACTGAAGCTTAGTTTTTAATAAAAACCCGAAGAGTCATCGTTTTCTTCGCGAAGAAGCCTGCCGTCTCGTTTCGTTGCTCCTGGTTGCTCGTTGAATAGACCGCGATTGCTATGACAACGAACACCGAAGCGAGGCATTAGTCGCGAATAAGCCGTGAACCGTTTATACAGGACGCTTATATGTACCCGGCCTTTTTCCGCCCTGGTTTATACGAGCTCTTCGCGTCTTGTATAAGCCACGCTCGTATAAATGGTCAAGTTCGCGTCTTAATAATCCGCGGCTTGTGTAAGACGTGGATTATTTTTCTCGTATAAATGGCCCTTTAGTGTTAATTTATTTGGGAATAAACCATATATCTTAAGTCTGGACTGATCAGGGAGCACACATTAGGTCTCTTAAGAGTACTTTTATGATTTTATGCACCGTTTCTTTCTTTGTGTGATGTTGGGAAAAAAATTTCGATCAATTTTCCGCTTCTACATAGTTAGGACGAGGCGTTTGAAGGTCGCCGCAGCTATGTGGCAATCATCTTTGGAGAGAAACATCTTATTGACTTTCCAAGCGTGCAGCAGAGTACAGCTTCGGCCGTGATAATTTTTAAGTGGTTTGGTTTATACACAACCTAGCATCGAGAGAGTTAAGCGATCGACCGAAGACGGCTGATTTGCAGGCTACTGAATCAATACCTAGAGAATACATGCACTTATCTACCGAAGATCGCGAGAATTAATGATTCTACTACCCCCATCGCCATGTGTAGAACTGTGAAATAGTTTAAACAGTGACTTTAAACGTTTATTTCGTTTCTATTCGTTTAATCTGCTATTTGTTGATTTCGAGTGATTTCCGGTCAGCGGTCGTTACTGTATTTCAGTTTCGTCATTGCTTACGTCACTACTCGGGAAAGTACAAAACACGTTTTTCGTTCCCGCTCAAACACTCGCTCAACATGACCGCCATGTTTGTAACGCTGTCGATCCGAAGTGAAATATAGTTGAGTTCCTATCGCTGTTGTATTTCCTGCTTCCCCAAAAGAAACTCTGTGTTAGAGTTGGCCCATTCTTGTTGCCAGGGATACGGAAACCCTCAATGAATGTAGAAGCCTACCCTTCAAAGAGCTTGGGACGACCCTTTAAACTAGTTATATTAAGGCTGCGCTCTTTAACAGGAAATTCTTCCCATACAACTACTGAATGAAGATATTCCAGATTTTCTTGCAGACCAAACTAAACTCGAAACCGGTGTTACGTCAACGATGAAAACAATACCTCAGTCTTTCATTTTACAGAGTGACAGTTTCTTTAGAAATGTTTTCAATCTTTATTGTCGTCCTTTTTCGTATATTCTCATTCCTTTTGTATTTTCTTTTGATGTGTGTCCTTCTCGTTCAATGTCTAGCAACATTTTTAATGTGTTTGTTTTCAAGGTTTATGATACATTTTTTATTGTCTTGATTATTTTTATCAATTTCATCCTTTGCATTCAAAATTCTCTCCTATTTTGTATTCTTTCCTTTTTATCATTTCATTTGTGTAGAGAATATATTAACATTTGTTCTTTTGCTTTTTCAAGTTATTTTGTGTGGTTGTGTTTTATTTCTTTTTTAAACATTACTTCTGTTGAAATAAATTTTAGAAATTAAGTATAACAATCGAGTATAAGGAAAAAGTCCTCCGAGTGAATGTTTTAGTTTCTTTTTCAGTTTCTCTGTTTCCTTTCTCGTCCTCATTTCCTCTTTAGCGTCAGTAAATCAACTGCACACCAGGCTAAAAACAAATAAAAGACAAACACATCTTTTTCATGAAACGAATTTATCTTTTTTACTCCTATCTTTTGTCTCAGTGTCGTCTTGAAATCAGTCTTGTGGAAGATAATTCAGTAACTGGTACTAGTCCTGTCATTTCTTCGCCTTTAAGACTGTTTTCTCTACTCTGCGCCTTCCATGCTGTAGTGTAGCTGGTTGATGGTAGAACGTGCGTGAAGCGAGTTCGAATTGTAAGTTGCACGTACAGAGCAGGTAAGCACCTCAAAATTTCCCTCTATTCCTTTACAAGATATAACACTCTCGCTGTCCTGCGCACGTGACTAACAACGCTGCCTCTTGTCTGGCGTTACTTTCCCTTCACATGTTTTCTTTCAGTCTTCTAATAACTTGGTTCTACTCACCTCATCATCAGAACTGCTGGTTTTCTCGCCACTTCTCTTTTGCCAATACATGTAAAGCCAGACTCCAGAGCTAACTGCAACAGTAATGGTCACGCAGGCGACAATGATCCTCCTCATGATAAAATAAACTAGTTCAACGTTTTATTTTAAACTTGCGGCGAGACACCTACACCGATATTTTTATCTGATTGGCAAAAACAATGACAACAATGGCATAATGAATTAATATGAGCGTGCTCGCTCTTCTTAACCATGTCATACTCTGACGCGTGACGTAAGCCCTTTCATTTTGTTTTGTGACGCCGCCTTAAAGAAAGTACTTGGGATACTACATATAACACATTCTTTAAAGTTCGCTCAGGTGGGCGTGGCCAGGTAATTAAGAGGGAGAGCTTTCACGTTCACCGGCCAGTCAATTGTTCAAGTCACTGCTAATGCAGGATTTGAAGTCAGCCTGGAGAAAGTTCATATAGAAAGCAGCCAGACATCTCTAGTGTGGCTGGATTCAAAGGCGGGCCTAGACGTTAGTGAAAATGAAACATTATGTAGAAGGCTGTACTTTTCACACAAAGCAACATTTTTCAACGAATATTTAAACGCCGAAGGTATAATGGAAACAACGCTTAGTTGAATTGTCGTTTTATTTATTTTCAAACAACATACACACTGTCAAGCATTTGGCAAGACTCACGCAGATTCCCAACAAATTAATTGAAATTATTACAGTAGATTTTTACAAACAAACTCTACTCAAATATAGTTAGTAAATGATTTACCTCGTTTACAGTAATTGCAGCTGAACTATCAAATCGACTTGGAGTTTGAAATAACGCTTTACATAGCATCGTTAGATAAGACACTTCAAAAGTAATCTGATTGGATGAACAAGGTACCAAGGAGCTTGTAATCAATCACCGATATTGGTGACATCCTTATTCAAGCGCTACGTTAACGGTCAAAACCTTCAGCGTTTTTTCGTCAAGTAAAGATCACCTAACGGGTAGCGGATTAGAAAAAGTCAAGTAAAATACAATATATTAGCTAAATAAACAATACGGTCATTTTTTTGATAGCCCGATTTATATTAGAGACGGATCATCCGTCTGGGAAAAACTTGAAAAACAAAAAACAAAAAACAAAAAACAAAAAACAAACTAGGGGTGCTTAACATTTTTCAGAATACACCGGTTGGAATGACCGTTGAATAATGGTAAGGGTTTTTCCAAAATCAGCAAACCAACCGAATAAGATAGCGCTTACCATTTACAATCGATCTCCCGTAATTGTTTCCGGCTAATGAGAGACTGCAACTGGAAAATTTAGTAAATGATTAAGAAATTTCCGCCGTTCCGTTCTGAAAGAAAAAGGAGCACTACCTCTGGAGGAACTCTGTTATTTCCGAATTTTTTGGCTAAATGGTAAGCACCCCAGTGGTTGGTCTGATAATTCGTCTGTGACGCATCATCCGTTTAGGCGAACTGTTACAGTAGTTAATCCTGACTGACGAACTACCGTGGATAATTCGTCTGGAGGGATGATCCTTGTCTAGTATGAATCGAGCCATTCTGGAAAACATGGTAGGGCGAGCATTCACTCACTGTTGTGTAACCAAATCGGAGCATTTTACAAACGATCGCTATCATTTCTGAAAAAGCAGTTTTCATTTCACATTAGGTAAATATATTACATGGTAACCTAGTAGACGATTCAATACGAAAAGCAAAAGTTCTCTTCCTACTTAAATGTATAAAAATAGTTTCAATTGCCACTCTCTTCACGGCTCTTTCACTGAGCTTATCGAGGAGCATTACAGCCTTTCTGTACGTTATGTAGCTGTGTACTTCTTATAAGGCTAGCCGACTGTCCGTCAATAATCAGTTTTTGTACACATCCAGTGAGTCCTTTATGAGACATACCACTGTGAGTCTCAAAACCAGAACCATCTGAAAACACAACAACAAGAATTTAAACATCCGTGCAAGCATAATTATGGTTACTGTGAACAAAAATCTAAGGTCTTTTGTGAAGCCCATCTAGACCTTCCTCCTTTCTCTAATAAGCGCCCTCTGCCCCTGTGACCGCCTGTAGCACCCCGAGGCGATAAATCAACCATATTTCGAAATTTGACGGTAAATTAAAAATCTCAGCTGACAGAACTGAATTCTAACTTGACACAATCTGTTTCAATCTTGAACAATTATAAACATAAGGACGTTTTTTCAACTTGCATTTTTCTTCACTTTCAAACCTTGTTCGTATACAGCAAAAATTTTCATAAAACAGCGCAACCTAAAGGCCCTTATTTGCAGGGTAAAAAAGCAGAGTCGCTTATTGTTATAATTTGGATGTAAAGACTAGATAGCGTTTCTCTTAGAATGTAGATAAAGAAAAATACAAGTTGTACAAAACGGAATCTAAAATTACAGTGAACACAGAGACCAAAAGACAGAAGTGGGGTGTTATTTTATATTACCTGGTACACCCCCAATGTGAAAGGTTCCATACTCGAGTGTGTAACCAGACGGTACCTCACCAGCTACTGGCGAGTGATCATCCACCTTTAACTCGACACTACTGATGTTCCTTTTGACAAGAACTCGGTGAAACTTATTATCACAGAGATGGAAGGAAGCATTGTATTGTCCGTCGACTGGAATAGATGGGTCGATCCAGCGAATCACCGACGAGTTGCGTTCATCGTTGAAAATGAGAATGATCTGAAAACACAAGTAACGGCTTAGCGAGAAAAGCATCATCATGCGTTACACAAACTCTCTTATGACTGGTCACGCAATCTCCCCTAGGAATGATTGGGGGATAAGCCAGTGGAAAGTAACTCTTCTTCGCAGCCGTTTTTTGGGATGTTACGCAAGGAGAGCGTTGCGTGACATCCCAAAAAACGGCTGCGGAGAAGACTAATGGAAGGTCTGCAAGGAAGACTGCCTAAGTAGGATATCACCCGGTGGAGGCTTGTCATGCAACGATAAAGCGTTTTCACGCGTTATGACTGGTAGCCAACGAAAGCAGCGGTTGTTTTCGGTCGTCAAGCAAAACCTTGACTTTGAGCACTGCAGGAGAATAACCATAATCAAATATGCATTTCAATTTAGTCGTAATGTAGTCGCACCTCTCTGCCTGTTTGATCAAACAGTGGATGACGAATATTGATATTGATAAATCGCCATCTAGTGGAAGAGAAGCTGGCTATTCTAGAATTTGTGTACTGGAGAGTAATTTTTCCAGAGGAAAGCTTAATTGTTGAAAAAACCGCTATTAACTGGATGGGATAGCGTTATCAGTCCTCAACGCCTGGAACGTGGCAAAAAGCTAACTGTCCGCTGATCAACCAGACTGTGTCTTATCTCACCTGCCCATCCAGCTGCTCCACGGTAACAGACCCAGGTCCCGAGCTGTTGGTAATGGACAAGAGGAGCCCGGAACGAGTGGTGCTTCGGAAGAAAATCTCTATGTCCGTTTTAGCAGGCAATGTGTAGTTTGAATCTGTGAAACAAAGCAATAACAACATAAACAACGATGAATCACTCAGTAATAACGCAAAACTGAGAACGTGCAGGAGTGTTTGTTTCAGTCTTGTTTCCTCACCATACACGATGTGGCCGTCACCATAGAAACCAGCCTGGGCTTGAATCTCGCTGTAACAAGGTTTGTAGTCGTAGTTCGAGTCCCTCTCGTCTCTGTCAGTTCTAAGAACAACAAAGTAAAACTTTAACGCCTGAATAATCTATGAGTGTAACCTCACTTCCAAAAGACTGTTGAATACGCCTTCCGCTTAAAATAGTGTAATAAGCCAATCAGAACTGGAAGCAAAACGCACAGCCAGTGGAATGGGGCGAGAATATGAAGAACGGGCCAAAACACGATGGGCCATTTGCGAGTTACCTTGTACCTCGGTTTCAAAACGAGTCCTCGTTCAAAACCTTTCATATTTTTGCATGAAAATGAACCTGTGGGCGGAACACATTTTCATATGGATGGTTTTCCACAAAGACTCATTTTGACACAGAGGCAAAAGGCAACTCGAAAATGGCCTCCTAGTTTAGGATTCGCACTATATTGACTGAAATCTCCATATACGGTACACCCTCTTATTGGTCGTTCAATAAATCTCGTATCAGCCATGCTCGCTCGGGACCGTTCCGGGAGAATAAAGACCCTCGGTAATTTCTGCACGGAACTGACTGCGCTCGATTCGTACTCTCAAGACTTCGGACCTAAATTCTCCCACAACGACCCTGGTACTGGGTTAATATGACGTATTTGGCATGAGTTTATACCTAGGATTGAAGACTTTGGTTGGAGAGTCAGCTGTCTGAATGATGAGAGCTCCAAGACACCCAATGAAACCAACTCCATTGCTCTATCAATAAAAGAAAATGAGAAAAACGTTAGCTTATCTTGTAGCAATCAATTCACAGATTTTCACGTATCGGTTGTTTGCCAGAGATTTTAATAACGCCATTCACTGGTCAAAACACTTTCCAATGGATAACACATCTGGTTTCGTAACAACCTTTATCCAGGTAAGCCGCTCTTTGAACTAAGGGAAGTAGCACTCTCACTTTTCCAGACCAGCACAAGGACTGGGTCCCTTCCCGATCTCAGCGTAGCAACATGCCCTGCGAAAGGACATCTCATGTGCGAAGCTGTTAAATCAAAACTTTAGAGTGAAAGTAGACTTTACCTCGAACACTGATACATTGGTACCCCGTGGTACCCCTCCATAGTAGTAAGGGCTGTTGATAATCATGGCGGGTTTCAACTCTCCTGCTCGTTGCCTAGCGTAGTCGTTATTTTGTGAAACCAACATGGCGCCAAACTGATCAATCCTTAGCAGCTGAACCTGAGGTAAGGAAAACAAAAACCTCTCTGTTAAGTCATAAACAACAACAATGACAACAACAACAGAATCAGATGTCAAAAATATTTTGAGAATAAACGAAATATGAAACACTATTATCGCTAGTGGTTCACACAATGGGACAATTCTTCTTGTTTGCTTTTGATGCAAAACAAGGAGCGTTTCGTTAAAATTACTGTTCTGTTAAGCCTGGTTCACACTAGCGACATAACCACATCATCCCTTATGTCAGTAACGTGAACATCGACATAAAGACAACCAAAATATGAGACTTTTTTTCCTTATGTCGTTATGTTCGTGTTTTTATGTTGCTATTATGTCAGGATATTCACACTGCAAACATGGTGACACAAGGTCCTTCTTATGTCGTTACGTCGCTTGTGTGAACTAGGCTCAACTATTCGGGAAACCTTACAGGGCTTCAAGTGGCCTACTAGAAAAATATAGGGTTAAATATAGGGCTAATGTAGGGATTGTAAAATAATTATACGGACAATATAGGAATATTTCGAAGCACTTACAAGAGATAATTCACAAAACTACCATATTTATACTGCTTTTACGAGATTTTTGTCCAGAAAGTTTCAAACATCAATTCCATCCTGTTATTCATGCAGGTTTTTGTGAAATTTAAATCTCAACAGGCTACTCATCAATGCGTTTAACATCATATTCTTTCTTCTATGTTCAACGTTAAAAATGGTAACTTATTTACAGACGATCCATGTATCTCTCACGCCAGACACTTCCGCATTTGACACGTATAATTTCTGTTAAGTGCCACAGATCCACTCGTAAGCACCCCCCTCCAGGAGGGGACTCACTCTTCCCAGTTCCCAGTGGTGGTAGGGACTGGAAGACAAAGAATGTGGAAGATAAAGTGTTTACCATGTATTCTTGTCCGTCATCAGCGTAACTGCTGAGTGTACTCATGACTTTCACTGTTTTATATCCTGCATTGTATTTGAACACCAAGCGGCCATTAACAAGTTCCAGACTGATAAAGTGAGTCGGATTCTGCAGGTCATTGGTCGCATAGAGAAGAACTCCATTCGGCACAAGAGAACGGAACGTGACAGAGATCACAAACCTGACAAGAAAAAACACACAACATTGCAAGATTTATTAAGTAACTTAGTATCTAAACAGCGCATGTAACGGTTACATTTACTTGGAGTTGCTTTTGGTTTATGACGTCAAATGGTGCTGAGAAAATTAGCTTTGGTATTACTTTGATTTTCATTTTACAGTAGTAATTTGACAGAAAAGCGCTTTGCTGCACACTCACCGGTTTCTAGTATAGTTTAAGACTTCCGAAGTTGCAAAAAAGGCGATGTAATCATCTCCTTCCAACCGAGCTTCTTCTTCTCCAGATGAATTCCGTAGGGGTGGATACGGGCTGCCACAAGTGGGAGGTGGTAGTGTGGGGGGTGGAGTAGTGGGAAGAGCCGTTGGTATGACGTTTCGCTCAGGTGACACTCCAGCCAATGACACACGTTTGCTTCGTCCTGAGAAGATGTTCACAATTCTGAAGGGAAAAAAAAACAAATGTGTTTTAGGTCAGAATACAATCTGTTCATAATCAATTTAACATCAAATTACCATGCAACAGTATCATTTCCACTACTTAGTTGCTACTTGAGAAAATTTTTTTTTTTTGAAACTTTACCACGTCGCCTCTTTCATCAAGTAGCTCTTAATCAGGCAGAGAATAAATCAAAGATGTCACATGCCGATACATTGCAAGTGCGCGGGGATTTTGGCTTTTTGTTTAGGTGAGAAGTTTGGAAAACGAATTAAAAGGTCAAAAATAATAAGAAACTTTGGCGAGTGGTAACCGATTGCCTCTTGCACTCTTCGCGAACTGTTTGCAATATGGGTACAAGCGTTTTGACGAGTCAACAGGCTAAGTCCACTGAACACTTCGTTGGATTGTGACTTGGCAAAGGGCTTGCTTTTCACGTGATGTGATCGCCGCCATATTGGAAGATATTAACAAAAGATTTCTAACTAGCTTCTTTTGTTTGTGTCATCCAACATGGCCGCCAGGCCTTTGTCATTTGAATCTTCCAGGATTGATTACAAACCACCAATATGCGGGTAAAAATCAAGTTTCTTTAATTAATACAGTAGACGCTCTGGTAAACGGACACCCTTGGGCCAAAAAGGGACCATTACTTTGTCATACAACAATTGGTACATAAACCTAGTGCTGTAGCCAGTCGAAAAGATTGTATTGTCAAGCTGATCTGGCCTTAAACAAGTTTCTAGCCTTGTTACTAGTTGCACGTCTTCCAACACTTGGCACAAGTCACACAATTTCCACATTTCCCGCGCTTAGCACGAGTTAGTTTGACGATTTCCCGCGCCAGTCACAGACACACCCTATTGTTTTGTTACTGTCATAACTTAAGCTCAAACAACTTACTCTCCATTCAACCTGAGGAGATTCATTCCTCCTTGGAACGCGTTAATAATTGGAAAAGCCCTGGGTATGGCGGTTCTTTCGTCCACACCTCCTATCCATAAACTACCATTGAGACCAACTGTGCCTGTGGGAAACCCGTCAGGTATTGACAAGACATTGCCATCAAGGAATACATTGCTCCTGGTAAAACACACACAAAAAAAATATTAAGTAAAATAGCCAAAGCTAAAGAAATCAAAAATTACCTCCCAGTAGAAGGCAATCTTGAATAGTCTACTGAAGCAGAAACACACTGCTTGCGAGGACATTAAAGAACAAGGAGAGCTAAAGATTGGAAAAGACCGAGATACATTTTGTGAGGCTTTTATAAGTACATTTCTAAATCTGTGAGTACTATGGCCGGCTACTGACGGGCCTCCAAAGTTTCGTACAACATATTTGCCGTTTCACTCTTCAGTTGGAGATGTATCTCGTTTCCGATCCACGTCGTTTAGTTGCTTATACGAAACTCGTAATACTACACGGGCAAAGCATCCAGGCCTTAGTTGATTATTCTTTTAATTCTTAACACCAGTCTGTTTGGTAACGTATAGATATGGTAAGAAAAAACTAGATTATTCTTGAGATCAGAAAGATTAGGTTTCTCAATTTTCCCAAGCACAACCAGGGCAATGCTCCGTTAAAATACTGTACCAAACCCCTTATGTAAATGAGTCATTAGATTCACTCACCCAACCACTCCTAGTTCGATTTTCACTGTATGGTAGGCTCCATCATTAAGTGTCTCTCCCTCGCTTACAATGGGAACGAACGTTGTCACATCTGTGGTGTGCACCAGGAAAAGGTTCCCATGGAGAAGTGCCAGGTAGAAATACGGACCCTGCAATAACACGTTAACCCGTTAGCAAAGAAATTTAACAACGGCAGATTTCAGTCAGTGCTACAAACTGATAGAAACATTCATCCACAACGGGATTTTTTGTTATCTCGTGCGGTTTGCGAGGAGTTTTCAATTACAACACAAGAACAAGGACAAGGAAATAACCATGTTAAAATAATAATAAAAAAATGTTCAAATGTTGATGTTTATAGTGGTCAGTGCGCTTAGCTACACCTGGCTATTTCACAGGCATGCCACTTAAACTGAAAGAAACAAACATATCAACTAAACAGGATAGGCTTAAAAATCCCAACCGGTTGGATATTTACAAGCATGACCGAGGAGTCGAACTAGAGTCTACCGAGAAACACCTCCAGCTAAAGTGGTCAGAGCGGGATTTGAACCCGGCGCCCTAACCACTCGAACACGCTGCCTCCCTAACCATGATGTTGTAGATGAAAGAACCTTATCTAAAGTTACCTCTCCACTGTAAACAAGAACACCACTTGGGGAAAGTGTTTTGAAGGTGAATTCCAGTGAGGACATTTCTGATTGACCTGTTTCCACGGCAGCGTAACTTTCACCTCGGAATCGAATACCATCCTCGACCTGAGCAAGAGAAATGAAACAACACGTCTAGCTTAATACAAAGAGGAAACAGCAAATTGAACTGCAATCCTGTTAATAAAGTACATAAATAAAATTGAGACTAAGGAATTCTCCTGACGAAATCATTCCGGCAAAACTCCTTCACCCAGTAAATTTGAAGAGACGACCTAATCTTCCTTTAAAAGGACAGTCTCTCGACTGGTATATCGTGTTATCATAAGTATGGCCCGCGGGACCTTGCTATACACTCGCTTTAATAAGTTGCTATGGAAAGAGATTCTTGTAATCCTGTACTTCTTCCCCAAATTACTTGTTCTATTTTGCTCTGTAGAAATTCATCACTCGATTTATTTGTCTACTTGGAAACTTTCGATAATCCGCCGCAACACTATCCCTTTAATTTATAACTTTCAACAATATTTCCTTGTTGTGAGCTTTTTTTTGAAGCTATTATTCTTCTGCAGGTGTGTGTCCATGCCTATTTTTGTGTCCGCCCGTTCACCTTTCGTTAAGGTTATTTCAGGCAGACAGTATTCTAAATTTTATCCTGTGAGGCTCGAATTGTAATTATAACATAGAGAATTAAAGAATGAAAGATGCGAATGCAGCCATAACACTACTGGAAAAATGATCTGAAAAAATTCGAACCCACGACCTTTGCGTTACCGGTGCAATGCTCTACCAACTGAGCTATCAAAGCTACATGAGAGCGGTCGTGTGCGGGTTCAGAGCGTCCATCCCGTTCAGAGCCTGAAATTTTTTCAGGTCATTTTTCTAGTAGTGTTATGGCTACATTCGTATCTTTCATTCTTTCATTATTTAATTGCTACTGTTGGACATCTATTACCATGGAATTCATGTACTTGAGCCGAGTATCACGTTCACTGAACATACAGGGCCGAACTCACACACGACCGCTCTCACGTGGCTTTGATAGCTCAGTTGGTAGAGCATTGCACCGGTAACGCAAAGGTCGTGGGTTCGAATCCCGTTCAGAGCCTGAAATTTTTTGGGGTCATTTTTCCAGTAGTGTTATGGCTGCATTCGCATCTTTCATTCTTTCATTATTTAATTGCTGCTGTTGGACATCTATTAACATAGACACATGTAATTGTTTTTACGTTGTGTAATCAGTGTAATCTCGGCTTCGTTCTCTTATACATTAGTATATTGTCTCTTACCACTGGTAGCAAACCAGAGAAGCTCACTCCATCGGATGACAGTGTAAAGTTTGCGTCGTTGAGTAGCCTCTCTACAAGGGATCCAGATGTGTTGCTACTAATGTTGATATACCGCAGGGCCCCAGCAAATGAAGAGCTTACAGGAGCGTTGATTGGGCTGCAAGGAACAGGGAAGAATTAAAATGATCCAAGAAGCTAATATAAGAAGCATTCTTTAGCGCAAAATGGTTGTGAAAACTAGAATGAGAAGCATGAAATATAGCAACCATTTCATAGACTCGAACTTTCCCAAATTTCTTTTTACCGTTAGTTTTTACTTCAAGTTGTTTTAAAAAACCTTTACTTATAAGAAATAAAATAGGATCAAAATATGCTAGTAGTGTGGTGTTAGTACGAACTGTATTCTAAAATTTCGTGTTAGTAATGAGCCGTTAGTAATGTATAGTGCGCAAAGTGTTGGACTGTAACGTTCAATAATAATAAAAAAAAAAATAGCATCAGAAAGTAATCAAAAATCAAACTGAAAATAGCAATTCTAGTACATAAAGCCAGCCAACCTGTTTGGATCCTTGCCACCGAAGAGCAGCGACTGTCCTTCAGGAAGATAGACAGGTGTGGGTGTCATTATGGTCTTTTGATCGACTGCACCGCTGTCTGACGGACCCACAGGTCTGACCGTCAGACTAGCATTCCTCAGACCGCGCACCACATGCACTCTGTACCACCGTCCGTCACTGTACGACCTGCTGTTACTGTGTACTGTGTACGTTTGATTGGCTGTTTTAAAGTAGAATGCCAATCTGCTGTCATTCAAGTACACTCCATACACATAATTCTGAAAAAGGCAAACAGACAAAAGAATCAGTCCGTGTGACTAGTTGTGATCTTCGTGTCTCAAAAGAACAGTACACAGATTATAGGAAAGCCAGCAGAAATGGCAAGAGTCTGTACAAATGAAAAGCACTAGGCAGTAAACATGGCTATCCGATAACGAGCATGGAAATTGCGAGGTCAGTCTTACAGTTTGGCTCAGATTTTTCTGAAATTTTGTTTGAATTCCAGTTCAAAATTGGTTCCCTCCTGTGAGAGTTTTGTATACAAAACATCAAAGGATGAAACCTTTAGACCAGTGCTTCACTACACTATTTCACTACTGTTTCTGCTAACCCAAGTCCTTCTTAAGACGATAGTGTGTTATACGTGCATTGCTATTATCGAGGAGTACCGGGTTTAAAAAGGCAAAGATTTCTGCCACTGAATGCTTATAATTTAGTGCTCCAACAGCATTAGAACCGATGAGCATCGATCGTGTTACTGGTGTGATGTTCTGCCAAGTTAGTTGTTTAGTCCCGTGTGAGGAATAAACTGAACAGAAATGGCGTTTTTCAATGAAATCATCTACAAACTGTGCATAGAAAGACTGAATAACACGATAAAACCCACACACCTGACCGTTCAACACACTTGCGATGAAAGCCGTTTTTTGGAACGTTCTAAACTCAAACTCAAATTCAGACTCGCCACTAATGTTAAATTCTCCCATCTTCTGTTTCACGTGTCCTTCTGGAATACCAAAGAAGCTGCTTCCTGGAATTAGGTCGACCTGGACGGGAGGCCTATTAAAAAATATATTGTTATCAATCAAATCA